AAAGAAGAGAGAAGGACACATGGGCACATGACCTGGCTTAGAATCTGTCTGCATGAAAATCTTTGACGCTGGCAGGATATACTTGCTCACATGCCCTCTGAGAGCTATGGGGCCAGGGCAGCTCACCCATCTGGCTCAGGTCAGTGCTGATGTCCCTTTGTCATTTGTTTCTAATGAGCAGCCTTTTCTCTGCTAGCTGCTCTGGTTAAGAGAGAAGCTAGGACCAGTGGTGACAGCCACTGTGTTGAACTTGTAGCTTGTGAGATCTGTGCTCCCACGGCCTCATTCCCCTTCCTCTCCCTTTTCCTGAATGGGCAGAGATGAAGGAGGGCATCTCAGACTTCACCTGTGGGGTTCAGAAAAGCAGATTCTGCAGTCAGATGCTGCCTTCACCTTTGACGATAAGGGAGAGAAATATTCTTGGTGTGCTCCACCTTGCTCGCCTTGGCTTTGGGCCTTGACTGAAATCCCAGGTTCCAGAGCTGAGGAGATCACATACACTCCAGAAAGAGATTTGAAGAGCCACGGGATGGGGAGTGGAGGGAGGGTTATTAATGAAGCCAGGGTGGCTCCTAAGGTCAAGTGTCAAGTGTCCCTGGTGTGTAGCCTGTGCTAACACAGAACGTCCTTGCATTTTCAAAGGAATGTCCACACTCCACAGCTGGAATTATTTTTTACTTATAACTAAGCTTAGTCTTTCCTCAGCTAACAAATACTCATCTTCTCATGGGGAAGAGCATACCTCTTAATCATGAATTTGGTATTTTTAGTGACACAAACATCTCTAATGACATTCTACAGCTTTAACTCCTCCGGGAGTCTGTGGTGAATTATGACTTTGTTCCAAAGCTGTTTCCAGCTTCCCGGCAGTCACTCTGGTTCTCCTGGGGCTCATCTCCCTCTCATTGTGCTCTGACGGCCTCCCGGATCCTCGCCCCTCTGCTGGAAACAGCTTAGTTTCTCTCCTTCTCTGGAGAGCCAGGGGTGAATGAGTTCTTCAAGAAGACTCAGGGTTTGCACTCTTACTACACACACACACACGCACACACACACACAGTTTTACATGTGATTGGTAAGGATTTTGAAGGGGATTTGTGGATTCACTGAAGCTTATCCAGACACCCCAGTTTAAGCTGCGTCAATTTAAATAGAAATATCTTTATTGTTTGTTTCTAATACAGACTATGTTGGGTGGCTGTGTATGTTCTCCTCACAACTCCCTTTTTCAGTGCCTCCCCAGGCTTTGTCATTGCAAGTCCGCTAACAGCCTTAACAGCTGCTCAGGGCTGCTTTGAGGAAGTGGGCTTGAGACGTGAGGTGGGACAAAGGGGCCCCCAGAAGTTGGTGTTGGTTGACAGGACCGACAGAGGTCATCATTAACGTTTCAAATCCTACCAATGGTTTCCTGACATGGTTTCTGGACACAGGGGCCTTGACCAAAGCCCTGGTGCCAGCTGTGGGGGTGCTGGCTCCGGTGGGAGTGCAGACTGCTAGCTGCTGGCCGCCAGCTGCTGTGCTGTCAGGACCCACCAGGGTGTTCAAACTCAGACCACTCACTCCCCAGACAGCTCCCAGCCAGGGCCCCCATAACAGGGTTACCGGGCCTGGCTATTTCTGCCAATGTGGGCCTCATCTAGGGGCACCCATTGGCAAACTGAGATTTTCTCAGAGCTTCACTCAGCCTGAGGCTCTGCCTGCCCACTACTTCCTCCCCCTTCTCCACAGGCATCTGATCTGCCCCAAGGTCCCAGGACTTCCCAGCCTCCTCCAGCTTCCTTCTCTATTTATCTTTCCCATGGACTTCCCTCAATAAATCTCTTGCACTTCTAACTCTGCCTTAGCATCTGCTTCTGGGAGGACCTGAACTGACACAGCTCTTCACCTGTGACATTGTGGTCACTTCACACAATCCCACCTTACCTTCCCAGATCCTTCCTTGGAAACAGTCCCCACATTTTGGCAACTCATTTTGCCATGGAGTTAGGACTTTGTTGGGTGTTGGGTTTCATCTTTCTGATTATGCAAGTAGTTAGGATTCAGAGGACCACCCCTTCAGCCTCCTGTAGGGTGCTGAGTTTCCCTGGAGATAAGACAGCAACGTGAGATAGTCAAACACATATTTATTCTCTATGGAAATTCTTTCCAGGATCCCAGGCTGGAAAATGGAAATCTCAGGAACACCCCAGCTCACACACAGGATCCTTCCCGAAAGCCAGGTCAACGAGTTCAGCTCCTGAGCCCTCTTTTCCTAGAAGTCCTTTCAATCCTTCCAAGAAAGAAGACATTCCAACATGTCTCAGCATTCTGATGTTGGGGGAGAGGACAAGGACTCTGCCCCTTAGATCTTCTCCTAAAAGGTCCCCTCCCCACCCCTTAGTAACTATGGTCCTACTGTGAGTCCACAATATACATCAGCTCCTCTTTTTTGAAACCATGAGGAAGAGGAGAGCTTGGCACAATACAGAGAACACACTGATGGCAACTGGATCCCATATTTTGGAAGTAACACAACAAAGATTGGCCCCATGACATCTTGTATTCTATTCCTACTGAACAGTACACCGAGGAAACAGACTTAGGAGAGAAACACAGGAGTGACACATTTCTGTAAGAATGAGCCCCATGCACAGCGCAAATCCTGGTGTTTCTCACATGTGGGAGCGGATGACATTTCTTGTAAATTAAATGGGCGCTGGAGAATGGGTCAGAGGAAGGCTTGCTGGGCTACTTCACAGGTGCTGTTTTGCCATATTTGAAACAGTGCAGTACCATCCCACACTCTAAGAATGTGCAGTGACGATGCTGTCCAACCATGTCTTGCTAGGTCCCCTGTTCTGACTGGTGGCCCCCCTTAGAATTACCTCAGAGAACTCTCAGTGCACAAGGTTCTCTGAAGGTCTCAGCCCTTGGCTTGATTACACATATTGAATGTGGGTCTTTAGAATCCTGGGGAGAATCTGCTTCTCAGCTGCCTTCATGCCTGCTGCATGGCCTCAGCCCACTAGGACTGGTGAGTTAGCAATGGCTCCTCAAGAGTGGAAGAAGCTGTCTGTCCCCAACTCAGGCCAAGTCCAGAGCAAGTACTTAGTGATCCTTGTTGAACTCAACTCTAACCTCTTCTATAGACAGGATGTCCCCAAGTCCTTGAAACTTTCTTCTTAACTTCTTCTCATAACCATGCCGGTTTTTTATAAATTCCTCAAGACAATCATCCATACATAAATGGCACAATTCTTTACTGAAAGTATAACTAATGTTTTCAGCACTGGCTTTTGTTGTCCCTAAATTATGTCTTCTGCTCATATATCTGCATTGAGCTAGCTTTACTTAATTTATTTGATCCTTCCTATGAGGCTTTGCAGAGTATGGTTCTCAGTTCCTTCCAGCTTATACTGTTGCTCTACAACAACCCTCCCCCTGCCCCACCCTAGCCCTGCCTGGTGTGGCCTGGTAGGGTTAGAGCCAGCAGGGCTGGTGAGGCTGTAAACCGTGTGGACAGTGCTGTTCTCCCTCCACACCATGGACACAACACATGTGCATCCTTCTTCAAACGATGAGGAGGATATTCATGGATATTACATGAAGTTTCTGCTTTCAGCCACTTCAGGACAAAGCACAGATCTGGGAGACAGAAAAGAACTGCATGCTCCCCTGATGGAAATCCCAAAGCTTTACTGGGACATGAAGCATAAGTGCATGGATCTTGGTAGGTGAACTGTTCTGTAGGGTCGGTGTGTTGTCTCACCTTTATAGACAGTAGGCCAGCAAAGCCAGGGTGGCAGGAAGGGGGAGATTTGAGAGTCTAAAGGGAAGATGCAAGGTGTCCTCTTCCCAGAGGTACTGCTGCTGTGTGCAGCCCTTTTGCTCAGTGGGCATCTGAGCACATGCCTGATGCTAGTGTAAAGCTAGTGCCTCTGGCCTAAGACACAAAAGGCCAGGCCAGGGAGTCCACAAATTAGTTAATCCTGATGTCATCTCCAGCTGCAGGCTCTGCCTGCTAAAACCTGGTGGAGAGACTCAGGCTTTGACACCAAGTGCTCAGCTCTGTTAAAGACTAAAAACTTCCAGGAGAAAAAAAGCACTCATGTTTTAGGACAAATCAGAGAATGCCTGACATGGGTGTTGACACATGGTCTTAGCAGTTGCTACTTCCCTAGGAACTTGGTATTAAATCGCTAAACTCTCTTCTCCTATTCTTTCTGAGACCACCATTTTTTGGTGAGACAAAAACTGATGCAATGATTGAACCATTGAATGTTAAAATTTGAGGGACACTTAGATGATCTAGTTCAGCCCCACAGTTTTATAAATAAGGAAAGAAAGGCTTAGACAGATTAAGTACAGCACAGCTCTCCTGACTCTTGATGACCCATGATGGACATTAGCTGGTATTAGGGGACACATTCTGCCTGCATCAGTTGCTTAGGACAGTCGCCAGGGACAAAATGCAGATGAATCTGAGGCTCTCAGTCCCATGATATTTATATGCCCTAAAATACTGAGATGTCGAAAAGAGATGGATTTTGTATTCTTTTTGCAAGTGCTTGGGGTTAAATCTCTCATTCAGCTTTTCTGGGGTTCCTTCTTTGGCTCCTCCGGCTGAAGGACAGTAATTTGAGCTTGACTGAGAATGACTTTGCTAACATAAGACAGAGGCTCCAGGCAAACAAGACAGGTAGCTCTGTTGCTACATTGCAGGATTCAACTTGAAATGAGTGCTCACATGCAACCAAAGTTTATTCTAGAACCATGGAATAGATTGTAGAGAACATCGAGTACAACCTTCCCATTTATAGGCTCAGAGAAGTTGGATGATTTGCCTTGGGTCACAGCATGGGGGTGGCAATGACATGGAAGAATCCAGGTTTTTTAACTCCATGATGGAATGTTTTTCCTAAACCGTTCTAATACTTTTCACAAGCCCCAGTGTTAGGGGTTTCTGATGGTTTTCAGATCAAGGAATTATTCATGCATGAAGTGAAGCAGGACAAAGACAATGGTGGCTGCCCCTGCCCCTGCTGAAGGCCCCGGGGTCTAGGAGAGCATGTTGGAGTAGAAGCTGAAGCTCTCTGTCAGGGTCTTGGAGTTGCTGCGAGAGGAGCCATTGGAGGTCAGGTCCAGGGATGAGGGCGTGGCCTTGGGGCCATCCTCGGGCTCCTCCTCCTGGTTTCCTACCACTGTGGAGACAGTGGTCTCCAGACGGCTGACTTTGTACACACTGCCTTGGGTCTGTAGGTACCGGGTGGATTTCATTTCGAGCCCCTCGTAGTCGCCTGCAGTGATGAAGGGGCAGCACCGGAAGGCATGCTTGAAGCCCAGCCGGAACCTGGAGGGAGAGCAGATGGAGCGGTGAGCTGGGGCGTGGCCTGTTTTCAGAGGGTCTTCCTGCCGCTGCATCAGCCCTTTAACATGTGGATATGCCCAGGCATGGCTCTATGTTTTTATTTTTAAAATTAGTTGAGAACTGGAGACAGTAAGGCCAAAAAGATTTAAAGGTTGGTCATTAAAGTCAAACCCAGTACTAGAACCCAGGTTCAGGTGACACACGTCTTTCCTGAGGGCAGCCACTGAACTATGCTGCCTACACTGCTGTGGCGTTGGCCAACTTTGGGTCGCTCAGCATCGAAATAAAACATTCACTATGGGTTTACTCTGTGGACAATACTGTGTTAGCAACTATGTGGTAAAAACATGACCATTTAGTCCCTTCCTTCAAGTGGTTCACTGTCTGAAGGATGAATTTCAGCCAATCACCCTCTTCCAGTATGCCTCTCCCAAGCTGCTCTCACACCAACTCTGTCCCTCTGTGTCCACACACAGCCCCTGTGTGATGAATGCATCGGGCAGAGTGCACCAATGCACAGCCACAGACTGGATCCATCGAGTGGACCTGCTTTCTACACATCAACCACAGAGGGTCTTTTTTGTTTGTTTTTTTTTAATCTGTACCCCACTCCCATTGACTTAGTTGGCAGTGTTTGAAAGTTATAAGATATCACACAAAAATATGGATTTCTGGTTCCTTTTGGAAAAGAAGAATATGTCCACTTTGGGCTTATATTCTTGCAGTGGTGATCATCAGCAGGGGTTGAATAATGTGGTGCTTAGTTTGCTGTAGTCCCTACCACTCCCTGTTGTCTCACAGCTAAGTTTGCTCATTTAGTTTGGCTGCTTGGTGGTTATTTAAACAGATGGTCTTGTGGCCCCTGGAAAGAGTCTGGGCAATGGGGTTCTCACCTGTCATTGAGGCAGCAGTAGATGATTGGGTTATACATGGTAGAGCTCATGGCCAGCCACATGATGGCCAGGTAGACCTGCTGAATGAACTTCTCCAGGTAGAGCTCTGGGTTGATGTAGGGCAGGAGGAAGAAGATGTGGAAGGGAAGCCAGCAGATGGCGAAAGTGCACACCACGATGATCATCATCTTGACCACCTGGTACAGGGTGAGACAGGTGAGACCACCAGCACATTCTCCTTTGCTCATGGCTACTTTCGTTCTTCTCCCACCACCCCCTCATTGCACACAGTGCAGTCTGGGGTGGGATGTGTTCTCAAAACCCCTTTTGAGGAAGAAGAAAGACCTTTATATGTGTTACTAGGGCTTGGGTTATGTCAGTGGTTCTGAGAGTTTGGCCCCAGGACTTGCTCAAACCTTGTCAGAAATGCTAATTCTTGGACCCCACCCAGACTCACCAAATAAGATGCTCCAAGGGTGGGACCCAGACTTCTGTGTTTGACAAGCCCTTCCAATTCTGATGGACACTGATGTCTGAGAATCCCTGTGTTATATCATCCTCTGGGCAATATGTGGAGAAGCTAAGGGAGACCACATTAATGAGCCAAAGGGAATGGGGGTTCAAGAAGCAAAGACTCAGGAAGCAGGGAAATACCAGAGGGGGAGAGGCAGTGAGCGAGGGCAGATCTTTGCTTGAAGTCTGAGCAGGAGGGCAGGAGAAAGGACAGGGTTCGGACAGCTGCCACCGCGGGGCATCAGATGTTTAAAGGGGATTTATAAAGTTTTATGAACTCTGGGTGATATAACCACTTCTTTCCCCAATAATCAGTGAAGAACTACCTAGCCTCCACACAATGAAATAGTATGCAAACATGAACCTAAACAAACAAACAAAAAGAATAAGGAATCTCTCTATATATTGGTTTTTGAAGGTCTTTTGGATATTTTTAGGTACAAAAGGAGTGAAGGGCAGAAAGTGTATATTTACTATTGTGTGAAAAAGAAAAAAGTAATTTATATTTATTTGGTATATAAATACATTGTAATATTTGGAAGGATTAATAAGAAACAACGGTGCCTACCATAGTGAATGTGCTCATGAACTTGGGAGCTGGGTGGAGGGAGAGCTAGACAGGAGGGATCCTTTTCATGGTAAGACTCTTCATGTGGTTTTTTAACTTTCCATTTTTAAATGATTTAAGACTCCCAGCAAGTAGCAAAAATAGTGCAGAGAGTTCCCAGCTTTCTCAGGTGACACCACCTTACACAACCGTGTCACGTGATCAAAACCAGGACTCTGGGGTTAGCGCAGTGCTAGAACAGCACTGCGGTCCGTGTGTGGGCTGCCTGTGCTCCACAGGCCCATGTGGGGGTGGGGGGGGCAGTTCCATGAGATTTTATCACTTGTATAGATGAGTGAAAGCCCTGCCACAACCAGGCACAGAACTGCTCCAATGCGACCCTCCAAACCTCTGACCTGGTGTCCGCCATCATGCTGCTGTTCCTTTGAATCCAATATGTTTTATGTTTTCACCAAGTGAATGTATTATTTTGCTAAGCTTTAAATAAATAAAAGAGGACTGAATACCTCTTTAATGCTTTTGTAGTTAAATGCTGTGTGTGTGGATATGTGTTTTAATGGCTTGGCAGGTTGCAGTTACCCGTAAGGCGAGAGCAAGGTCATGCCCGTACAGGCAGACCTAGGTCACCAGTACATTAAAGAGGGCCCCGTTCCTTCTCTTCCCCTCCTGTCCCCTCTGCTGTTCCCTAGACCCAGGGGGACTTTGTGCCTGTTGTCTCTGAGCCTTCTGAGCCTCTAGGCCCATATGCTTGCCAGCCTGTTGTCTGTGTTGGGGTGGGTTAGGGCTGCCTGTCCCTTGCTCACCTTGCGCTTGGCAGAGACTTGCTCGTGGTATCGGTCAGAGGAGTCCCCGGGAATCTCGCTGGCCCACAGCGTAATTCCCACTACAGTGTATGCATAGCCGATCACCAGCAGGGGGAGGAAGTAGATCAGAACAGGCACACAAATGTGGTACCTGCAATAAAGTGGATGGGAGGGGTCAGTCTAAGAAATAAGGGCTGATCAAGGCTTGACAGCTATCTTTCTCAGCATTTGCCGTTAATGAGTTTGGATGATAAGACCCACCGCAGGGAGGCTTGCCACCTGCAATGGATAAGTGGGTGATACGTTAATGGATAAACTAGAAAAAGCAAATCTCTTCAACTTATACTTTTCTGGTGGACTTTTTCCATAATGAAGATTCCTGTTCAGATTGAAAAGAGAAGAGTAAACATGGATTAAAGAGAATTGAATCCATTGTATACCTATGGCAATTTTAGTTAATGTTGAGTTCAATATTGCTGTCATTCTCTTCCTGCTCCCTCCCCGCCGCAACCCCCCCCGGCAACATGCAACCTCAGGCTTCATTATTATAAGTACATGCTCTATAAAGAAGGGAGTGATTGTACCACTCAGCTGATACATTTGATGTTAAACTTAGACACGATTTGGGTGCAGGGATGCAGACCAATGGGTACTTTCAGACAAGAGCCAACACAATTGTTCTGAGCCCTAATCCATTCTATCTGACAAATGGAGTCCCAGACAGAAGAATAATTAGGTTGGAGAAGAGACCTAAGACTTATCCAAGACTAGGGTCAGTAGGAAAAAGCCACAAGGTGTTAGCCACTCCTAAGTCTGGTTCTTAAAAATATATCTCCAGAGGGAAGCTGCCTGGGTCTCTGAGTCACCGCTTGGAGTTTAGATAGCAATGGACTTAGTCTGACTGAGACACACCAAGAAATAATGCTTTGCAGCGTTGGACTGCTGAGCCTTTGGGGGCAGCCACAGCAGCAAGCATAGAGCATCCTGCTGTTTTAGACAAGGCTCTTTCTAAGGAGGACATTCAAATGAGTTTTTTGAATTTTTAGACAGAATATTTTTTCTGAAGGGGTCATTGGCAAGTCTGGCTAGTCATAACCCTTTCCTCTGATGCGAGTTTAATGGCAAGGCTCAGCATTTCTAATAGTAATGATAGTAACAGCTAATACTCTGGGAGGTTTACTCTAGGCCACTGTGCTAATAATGTTAGTGATGGCATTCCCAGCAGAAACTGGGAGGGGATCTCACTGAGTCACCAGCACAATGCCAAGCATTTTGCTAGCATTATCCCATTTAATCCCAAAAATAAGTGATTGGGTAGATACTATCATGATCCTATTTTGTAGAGGAGGAAACTGAAGTTTAGACTTTAATTAAATTATCTAAGTTCACAGCTGGTAAAAAGAGGAGCTGGTATTAGAATACAGATACCAGAATTAGATCCTCCTCAATGAAAAAAAGTCACACAGTGTGATATTTTCTTCCATTTTGTTTATGCTTATTCTTCACAGTGAATTTTTTCCAATAAGGAAAATGCATTCAATTTCTCCTTTACAGATACTCTGTTTCCAACCATTTCTCTGCAAAGCCCCACAGTTTAATATTCAAAGCCAGGCCCGTGAATATTAAAATTTGCAACCTGAAGACATTTTGAGAGTTTTTAAGTAACAAATCACAGATGTAGCAAAGGAGGGAGCCAAGCATGTCCAGAATGTGCAGACAGGCTACCCCAGTCTCACCAGCCGTTCAAGGTCCCCCTTTATTGTCACTTCCTTTGTGAGCCTCTGGGCTCTCCAACCGCAGCGCAGTGATTGCATCTGTGTTTCCTGTCTGATCTCAGCCCCCTTCCCTATTGCTGCAATCAAAGTAGTGGCTAAGAATTCTGAGGACCTCCAGGCTGTACCTACTTTTCCCACCTGTAAGAACAGCCTGTCTTAGGTAGACTGATATTTGGTGATAAAACACTTTAGTTGAGCTTTTCAGGGTTGCTGCCTCAGAGCAGTGAGCACCCATGTTGGAGTCAGGGACATGATGGCAGATACTATAGACAAGCCGCCCACACTCCTTCCCTTAAACCAGTGGTCCTCCAACTTGACACAGCTTTAGAATCACCTGGTGGGCTTATGGTTTAAGGAGTGGCAAACTTATTTTCACCAGGGGCCACATCAGCTTTGTGGTTGCCTTCAAAGGGTCGAATGTAATTTTAGGACAGTATAAATGTGACTACTCCTTAACTAGGGGCAAGGTGCTTGGGGTTGCGGCCAGGTAGAAACAAGGTGCGGGCAGGATAAGACAAGGTGGAGGGGGTGATCCAGCCCCAGGGGCCTTGAATTTTTCTCCTGGGGCTTATACAAACAGGGAGGGCTGAACCACACCCAGAGTTTCCAGCCTTGCACACGGGCCTGAGAACCTATGTTTATAACAAGTTCCAGGTGATGCTGTTGTTCATCTGGATTTAGTCTTGGAGAAACACTGTCCTACACAGTCCCTAAAGCACGTAAGAATCACCTCGGGAATTTTTAAAATGATCAGTGCACACAGATATTCATTTAATTGGCCTGAGTGTGGGAGGAGGATCCCATATTTTAGAGAATTCTCCAAGTTATTCTGGTATACAGCTAGCATGGAGAACTGCTGTTTCAGACCCACGGTCTGCAGGCCTGTGGGGACTCTGAGATTTTGTGACTTCACTAAAGTGTGCATTAACCTTATTTTCTAGCTTCTGCATCAGATGCTTTAACAATTCCCCAGGCCACCTATTCCCTAGAGATAACTCCTTCCAGCTTGTCTTTCATATGCAAACTAACCAATCCAAAACCCATAGCAGCACTATTCACAGAAGCCAAAGGTGGAAACAACCCAGAAGTCTCTCAAGAGATGAACTCTGTGAACAAAATGTGGCATATACATCTAATAGAATATCAATCAACCTTAAAAAAGAAAGATTTTCTGACACATACTACAGCATGGGTGAGCCTTGCAAACATTGTGCCAAGTGAGTAAGCCAAACACAAATGGACGAATATTGTATGACTCCACCTGTATGCAATATCTAGAATAGGCAAATTCACAGAGATGGACAGTAGATTAGCCGCTGGCACAGAAATTGTGAGGATGAAAAGGTCTGGAAATGGGTGGTGGTGATGGTCACACAATATTGGGAATGTCAAATAATAAATTTTGTTATGTATATTTTATCATAATAAAACAAATTTAATTAAAAAAATAACACTTCAGATGAGCTGGGTCTCACAATTTGCAGCGTTTTTCCTCCTCCAGGTACTCCTCAACAAACAGCCCCGAAGGTTTGATTTGAACAGGACCAAAGGTTAAATGCATCCTCCTGGATCTTGCTCAGATAAAGACATTGCAAATACTCTATCCAAACAACATCTAAGTTATCAAAAATTCAAAATGATTGTAGACCAAATGAATAAAATTCCATCATTTAAAAAAACAATATTAAATACAGTTATTCCTCCTGGACGCTATTTTTGAAGAATTTTTTTTTTTACCATATCCTTGTAGTTAATTGGAAGTAACTCTGTTTTTTTACTTCTCACCAAAATTATTATTTTAGAGAGCTGGTCAGTGAACCTAGTGTAATCTTGTTTTGTACAGCTCCATGCATTTTTTGGCTCTTGGATGTGATATTCCCTAGGTTCCTGCCAGACATGATTTTAGCCTTTCTCAGAATTAACATCTGCCTTGGGAGAAGAGATCAGGGGTCAGGAATATATCAGAAATGAGACAGAGAAAGTGTCAGGAGTGACTGCAAGTAACAGCGACAGAAGGGACGGCTTGGTTCCCACTTGATCAGATGTGCACTGATTTTGATGGAGAAATCCTGCCAATGAACTTATCAGTCCTCTCTGGAGGAAGGTGCATGCAACAACTTCATGTCTTTGTTCTCTCCAGCGTATTCCTCTAAGCAGTGAATTGGGCTTGACACATTTTACAGGATAAATTTGCGGAATACAGGTGGTAGAGCCCCAAGTCCTGCAGATATCATCTTGTCCTTAGCGCCTTAATACCTTAATGCTCACTAATCCAGGCTCACTGAGGGCTCGCCAGGCTGGAGTCCTCTTCGTCGTCCAAGAATCAACAGTTCCAGTTTCTGAAATAATCCTCAGCATTTGAAGTGAAGATAGATACACGTATTAAATAGTATCTAGGGTGCCCCTGACTGGTGTAGCTCAGAGGATTCAGTGCCGGTGAACCAAAGGGTTGCCTGTTTGATTCCCGGTCAGGGCACATGCCTGGGTTGTGGACCAGGTGCCCAGCAGGGGACACTTGAGAGGCAACCATACATTGATGTTTCTCTCTCTCTCCTTCTCCCTCCCTTCTCTGCTCTCTAAAATTAAATAAATAAAATCTTAAAAAGTGGTATCTAGGGTGTCTTCTAATGAACTTCATGGAGAACTTCAGATGCTGTGGGGTGGTGGAAGGAAGCCAAGAGGGCAGGGCTCTGGGTTCTCCACCCGCCCTCTATGAGACAGCTCAGCTTTGCTGGGTGTATATATTGGCTATCTGTGGATAATTTTGTTTGGCGGTGGTGGTGGTGGAAGATTGCAGCTGTTACAGAGAGGCTGAAAAGCACCGATGTAATTCCAGTCCCTATTCAGTGCATAAGTCCTCTCTGCAATATCCATATGTCGTCGTAACCTGCTGTCTTTTTCTTGAATACTCCCTCTGACATGCTGGTCACTAGCTATAAAGCTAGCTCCGTCAGGGATGTTCTGTGGCTGGTTAGAGATGCATGTTCTCAGGCCCCACCCGGAAGGACCAAATCAGAGTGTGCCTTTTAATAAGACTACCTGGTTATTTTTGTGCAAGTTTGTAGCACAGAGCTCTCAATCTTGGCTGCACATCACCTGGGAGCATCAAAAAATCCCAATGTGTGGATCCCACTCTAGAGCTTCTGATTTAAAATTGGTTTGTAGCACGACCTGAAAATCAGAGTTTTAGTAGCTCCCCAGGGGATTCTCCTGTGCAGGCAGGGCTGACTGAGTCACTGTCATTGAGCAGCAGAGTCACTTCTGCTGCTGGCTGTGACTGACACATTGCTCCTTAAACTGAATAAAACCTGTGGTTCTGCAGCTTTCGCTACGTCATCCTAGGTCATGAGCAACAAGCTGAATTTGCCCCCTGATC